CTATGGGCAACTTAGCATGGCCAATTCACCTAACCTGTACATCTTTGGACTATGGGAGGAAACCGGAGCACCCGGAGGAAACCCACACAGACTCGGGGAGAATGTGCAAACTCCACACAGGTAGTCACCCAAGGCTGGAATCAAACCTGGGTCCCTGGCGCTGTGAGGCAGCAGTGCTAACCATTGAGCCACTGTGCCACAGAAATCTTCCAAAAAAAAAATTAAGGGCGGCAGAAGGGGGCAGTGGAGATGTTAAGCAGGTTGTCAGAACAATTGTGGGGGACAGAGGAGAGAGAGGTTCAGGAAGTGTGGGAGCAATGACCATAGCCATTTACAGGCCAGATCCATTGGGAAGAACTCAGTAAATTGTATCTTTGTGGAGATTGATTCAGACCCAAGGCTCCATATGAAGTCACCAAAACAAAAAGCAAGTAACATGTCATTTTTGGACGAGGATTCCTAATGATTAACTCATCTCACATCATGAATAGTCATATGTCAGTCAATTACCTTTCAATTTGCTTTGTAAAACATGGTCACTTCAAGCTTATAGACGCAGCCAAACAATCAACAATATACGCAACAAAAACAAAAACAGAACAGAACACAAGAACAGTTCTGAGGAAGGGTCACCAGACCCGAAACGTTAACTCTGATCTTTCTTCACAGATGCTGCCAGACCTGCTGAGCTTTTCCAGCAACTTCTGTTTTGCTCTTGATTTACAGCATCCGCAGTTCTTTCGGTTTTCAATCAACAATATACTTGCATTCAAACGTACCCAAGGAAATGATGTGAAAAAATTCTGACCAACTTTCACATCCACTCGCTAGGAACATGGTGACTATGAAAAGCACACCTTTGAAGACCCTATGTTTTGTTCACATAAGTGGGCTGACAATCTTACGGCCCCTTTTTTGAGGGATCAGAAATGTGTGGAGCAGGCAGAGGGCATTGGAAGAGGGGCTAAGGCATGAAAGTTGATGTTCTTTCTCCTTACTTCGACCCTTGTCTTTGGCTTACCTGCTTTTCCCAAACCCTCCCACAATCCTTACCATCTCCTGCTAGATGTCACCCCCTTTTTAAACTTTTCAATGTGATTCCCCTGTGGGGAGATGCTGCTTAAGTGGGCATTGCTGGTAACTTTATGAGGATTCTGTTGTCAGTCGGCCTATAGCGCAATTCATTATATCATTGTCACATATTTTGATTTGTTTTTATAAATAGATAGAAATGGTTTAAGGAATTATTTGACAAATCCTTTTCAGACTGGTCATTTGTGATAGTCATCAGGCGAAGAGTGAAACACTTCATCCATTGTGCTGACAGAGAAGTGAACACCATCAAATTCAGAAAAGGGGTCATTGCTGCTCCAGCCTGGGATTTAGGGAATGGGGTCTGCAGGGTCAGTGCAGACTCAATGGGCTGAATGGCCTCTTTCGTACTGTAGGGATTCTATTTTTCTAAAATTGGGGTGCATGGAGGAGAAAGGAGGGATAAGAGGATTTGTTTTATGCCACAAGTTGTTATGCTCTGTCTGAAAGGTTGGTGGAAGCAGAATCAATGGTAGCTTTAAAAAGGAAATTGGGCATATAATTGAAAGCTATGGGGGAGGGGTAGGAGGGTGGGAGCAGTTTAGAGAGTCAATATAGGCATGATGGACCTTAAAATGATTTCCTGTGAACCGCAAGATTCTGCAATTCTATAGCACGGCCATTTCTCATCCCAACTAACCTTATGAGCTCTGAGACTGAAGTTGTCACTTTAGTAGCTTTTGTGCTGAACTGGAGGGCAGCTTTGTGTAGTAGGCTCACAACCAGTGGGAGTTGTGTTGAAACTGTCCAAACTGGTTTCATGAAAAAGAGGTATCAGTTGTTGGAGAAAGGAGACAATCAACATGTCAGGGCTAGATTTGCAAAAAACGTTGCTATTGCAAAAGGACTGGCTTTTCAATGCATTTGACCATCCAATTCCAGCATTTGCAAAACGGCCTGAATTCTTGGAGTTCTTGAACACGGCTTCAAAATAAACAGGATCAGAATGTGAGAAAAAGAAACTGTGCCGATTTCAGGTGATAGAACGCAGATATTTAGCCACCAGAAGACATTGAAGATTGAAAAAGCTCATTCCAGATTTTAAGGATTCGCGGTTCCCACTGTAAGAAAAATCAGTCATCTTGGCTGAATGGATACATAACATTTTGTTGGACATTTGAGACATTTTAAAAGAAAAGTTTTGTGAGCTTTCCACTTCAGGTGTAGCGTTGTGGTTAATGCAAGTTATTTAAGGGCAGAACCTATATGTGGTGGGAGGGCTACATGAATAAATGACTTTTTTTTGCAAGGTGGAATACTTTGAGGTAACTGAATACTCAAGTGTTCTGACATCAGTGTGTTTTTGTTCTTTACTCTAGGGCTAGGGGCCTAACAATTATAATTCAGGGTTAATTTCCCCATTTCATAATCTGAAAAGGGAGGTTGTCTTCATTGTAATTCATCTAATCACCTCACAATGGTGAAGTAAAATGGAATTTATGGGGACATCAGCAACCAGGACCACGAGTCGGCCCTTTGGCCTCTTGAGCCTGTTCCACCACTCAATTAGGTCACGGCTGATCTACGTCTTAACACCATTTCCCTCACATGGTTAAGTAACACACAATACCCATGCCTATGAAAAGTTATCAATCTCACTTTAAAAAAATTCCAAATGACAACTCCATCATCAACAGCTTCTTGTGAAAGAGTTCCAGATTTCCACTATCCTTTGGGTGCAGAAGTGCTTTTCGATTTGTCACTTCTGATTGGCTCACTGCAAGGAGGGATGTAGGTGAATGATATAGATACATTTAAAGGGAAGCAAGATAAAATGGAGTGTAAAAGGAATAAAAGTGTATGATGATGGGATTAAATGAAGAAAACTGGGAAAAAGGTTCATGTAGAGCAGTCAAAACAAATAACTGCTTCTGCCAACGTAATTTGGAATTCTATATCATCTGTCGTGAGAGATTGGGAGCTTTGAGATGTGGAGGGATCTGAATGTCTCAATGCATGAATTGCAACAGGTTGGTATGCGGATTCAGCGTGTTAATAAAGACAGCTAATAGAATGTATCCTTTACTGTGAGAATCGAAGACAGCTTCATTTATACAGGCACTGGTGAAATCACATTGAGATTGCAGTCTACAGTGATGGTCTCCCTATTTAACGAAACCTGTAAATATGTTGGTGGCAGTTCAGAGAAGGTTTACGAGACCAATGCTTGGAATGGGTGGGTCGTGCTCTGAGTGAAGATAGGGCAGACGGGGCTTGTGTCTGTTGAAGGCTAGAAGTGTGAGGGATGCCTTGACTTAAAGATACAAGATCTTGAGTGGTCTAGTCAGGGTGCATATGGAAAGGGTGGTTCATCTTGTGAGAGAATCTAAACTGTTT